CGCCATAAAATCAGGATGCTGGACGAGCGACAGTTTGGCGGCTCGGTAGCTTCACGGCACCATCCTCGTCATTCGTAGACGATCCGTTAACTGAGGTAGAGGCGAGGAAAAGCGCGGTAACGCGTAAGATAAGGGCGTCATGCGTTGGTTACCGTTGGGTGGCGTTGGATGGTTCGCTTGGAATGCCGTTTAGCGACTTCCCTCTCCTACCATGATCATCCAGGGCTCTCTTTCTCTTTCTTTCTGCCTTTCGCTCTTTATCTTCTCTCCCTGCCCCTTTTCTTTCTCTCTCGCGTGTCTCTCATACCTGCACGCGCGGAGTGTGTACTCTCGCGGTCGCCGATCGTCATCCAAGTTCCGACCCTTTTTCTCCCCAATCGAAGCTTTGGCACGACCGCGTGTCCGGCTTCATTTACTGACACTAATTAATCAAGGCGTTCCTCCTGGAATTTATATCCTTGCAGAAAATTTCACGCGAAATATTTTTATTTGCGAGAGCAATAAAAATGTACATGCAGAAAGGCATCTTACAATCTCTCTGTCACGTAACGATTGAATGCAATATCGTTTGTTTGCACAATAAATTCCTATTAGCACGAAACGTGTTTGGAATTATCGTCTCGCGCATGGATCCCCGATTAATAGATACGCGCTATTAATTTCTAATGAGGAAGGAAAGTTTAGGTGAAGGCGTAAAAATTGTAGAAAGACATGAATTTCTCTATGGAAATCTTTTGTCATTCGAAGGGTGTACGATTAGAAACGCGTGAACACACCCATCTAGAAATTTCCTCGAGAAAGGCCTCGAGCGAAAGCGATTATCGAAAGTTGATGATAGAGCGGGATAAACTCGACGATCGTTATCAAGCGAAACTGGGATGAAAAATCGACGCGTACAACAACCGCACGGTGGTCTATAAATTTATAATAAACGATATAGAATGTAGGCAATATCGATATGAAGTAACACGATGCGTCAAGGCAGCTCGCATTCCCAATCTTTTATTTTTTAATTAAAAGGCAATTTATAAATTTTGTATACGATTTTTTGCGCTGCACGAATATATAAATTTTAACTGAATCACTTTTGTAATTATTGATCTATTATAATTCTATATCATTATGTCGCAACTGCCGCAAAAACTAATTTGTAATTTAAACTGTCATTAATGACACGTAATAAGTAGACGACTATTTCAGCTCCTGCTCTCGTAGAAACACGCCAGGTAAACTGGTTACGATTGCTCGAGCCGAACAAATATAATTAAAAAGTACCGAATTATGTTCTTACAAAGATTCCCAGAAACACCCTGTCCGATTGGATTGATTTATTGATCCGTCCGCTTATCCGGAGTCCATGGAGTCTCGGAATAAAATGAAGGGGAAAAAAAAAAGAATTTCTTACGGAAACTCGTCGGACAAACTGGTTCCAAGTGCTCCAGGAAGACATTTTTGTATCGAACGACAACACTGTGCGTTCGATCAAGACTCCGTCCTATATCGATATTACAACGGTTTCGCCGTTCGGTCGCGCGCGAAGAGCGCGTTTCTTTTCGTTGCTGATTTATATTCATGACTTTTTAGCCGCCGAAACGAAAGGCGTGATTAATCGAGAGCGTCCGTACGTCAAATCGAATACCCATCAGCGATCGCTCGGGTGATTAACTACCAATAGAAGTATCGAGTTTCTATCTTTCAATTATGAAAAAATCAGACTCGCTGGGGAGAGACGGAAGAAGGAAGGAGGGAGGGAGGGAGGGGGGGAGGGGGCAGAGATTCACGCAACTGTATGAACGTGTCGTAATTAATACAGGATGCGCGTTTCTTTCCTATCGCGCCGATAAGAAAATACATCATCGAAATTACATACCGGTCTTGATTATCCGCGGCTTCGCAGATATAAATAACCGATGATCATTCATCACGCTTGCGAGACGAACGTATACAAATTCAGTCTTGAGAGAATTTGTCGGAACTTTTAAACACGAAAGGAGTATTCTTATTCGTGTACGGCCCGGGTTGTCGCGCGTACTCGAAACGGATACGTGTCGAGAATCGCGAAAATTCTGCCACAGACGCAGCCCTCGATCGTCGGCCGCAGAAGACGACGGGTCGGGATAGTCTTTTCTCGGATACCGCGCGAGGGGCATCCGGGTTTCGCGTAGAAAAAAAACGCGACGCGCACACCACCGCTCGTTGAACGTGTTTAACTTCGGCGTATAACATCGTGTGAATGGCGCATCGCCCTGTAATTACGTTGCAAAATTTACGCCGGCATAAATTACGCCCAGTGTGTCGACGAACCCGACGAGCAACGTCATACCCTAACGTTGACGGCCGTTTTCACCTTGCAAATTAATAGCGACTCCTACCGCGAGAGTACCTCTCTTCTCGCTCTTTATCTCGTTGTTACTTTTCTCTCTTTCTCATACGCACTCTCTTCTCCTCTCGCTCTGCCAGACATGAATGAGCGTCAACGGGACATTTTTGCGCGCCGAATCGTACGATCGTTCCATTCGCGCGAGCTATCAATTTAAATAATTCGTTTGGCCGCGAACATTAATCTTGAATCTAATAAACAGCGGCATTGGCAGCGCCCGTTCCAATTCCACGTCTCGCAGCGCGTTAATAAATGTGACGTTTACATGATAACGGGGCAGCAACGATCGTGCGGATAAGGTTTACGTTTCTTATCTCGCACGACGTGTCGTTAATATTGTTGGCACTAGGTGATTTAATGAACAAATGTATTAGTGAAACTACAGCCAGAAGAAAAAGAATGTATTCTTTATACATGTAAAATAACGCGCGATTCAGGAGACAACCTTATGTAACGTTCGCAATCGCGCCATATATATATATATATAACTTTTGTTTTTTAATTGCGTTCGCCGCCTTTGGAATTTTTAGGCAAGAATTCCCCGTGCTTGACAAAATAAGAAAAATTACGTCCGCGTTATAATATTAACATATGTATATAAACTCCACGTTAAACGACCTATAATTTATATCAATCTTCAACCTAGAATATTATTCACAGTTTTATACTGTATATTTCGATAAGTATATATTCTGGTGTACATTTCGTATATTTTTTTGATTGCTTAAATACTTTTCCGTATTACACGGCATTTAAAATTATAAGTAGGGTATTCCGTTGCGTATTTTGACACGAATTACAGGTTGCCCCAAAGTGGGCTTTATTTTCTTGTTGCGATATTGCATAACGTGCCACCTGGTTTATAGTGGACGTCCGCCACTTGGAATGATGTCTTAATGATCCATCACGTGGAGTAACGCGGCGACGTATTCGCACGCAGAAATTGAGCAAACGAGAGTCATGCTAATCTCGATATACATGGCGAGCGACAGGGGATCTCAAACCTCGACAGGTTTAAGAACTCAGAAGCATGGCACCTTTAATTTCCTGCAGCGGGCCTGTAAACCAGTTATCTGAAATCTCGCCACTTTTATTCTTTACTCTCTACAAATATATATATATATACATATTGTATAATGAGAGCTGCGAATTAGATATACATTTTAAAATTAAAATGTCTCAGAAATCAAATGGACAAATGTAGGAAGTAAGCAATGAGATCTCTCTTTTTAATTTAATTTCAAGTGGACTTGAAAAAGATTTTATTTCAAGTATTATTATTACAGAAGTATATGGCTCCCAGTTAAATACTTTTTAAGATCAAAATCTCAGCGCACATTTTCCAGTATAGTCTCTGTCATTAAAGTCATCAAGAGAATATCTAATTGAGAACGACGATTGAATTGATTCTGCTGTGTTAGTTATATTTCAAGATCGTTTACCGCACTTTCGGGGTAATAAGACAGCATAGCATCCCTATAAGAAGTAATACGTACGCAGAACGAGCGCAAAGCACGGAGGCCGCGCGCGTTCGGCGAGGGTCGGCGAGCGTCGTACAGTACCGCTCCATTACTCCTATTCGCTCGATCGTGGGACGTCCCATCGTCCATCGGCTGGTGGGGGGTCGCCGGTGCTAGGTCTAGGTGCCACGTGGTGGCGCGTACCCCGGGGCGAAATTTCGGTCGTCGTCGGTATAAGCGTGCACAAACGAGAGATCTCTCTCTCCCGCTCCCATCCACCACGGCGCACCTTCTCTCCTCCCTGCGTGGCGTTACCTCCTTCTGTCTTGCTCCGTCGCTCCTTCGCCGGCGTTTGCCGGGACACCCGGTCGGATGGTAGGGCAGAATACTAAGGTGGTGTATCGCGGTGGTAGTAGTAGTAGTAGCTCTCGGTAAGAGCGCACCGTAGCACCTCCCGTTTCGTCCGCGGCTCTTAGGCTTTACTTTCGTACATCTCGCCGACGTCCTCGTCAGTCCGCGACACCGGAGGCCACGATCAGCTGTTTCGTTCACCGGTCGTCTCGTCGAAGCATCGGTGCGGCCGACGCCGCATCATCTCCTCGGTTATCCCTTTTTTAAGTTCCCTCCTCCTTCATCGTTTCCCCAAATTTTCTGTACGAGCCGAATAGCGGATTGCTGTTACAACCCCTATCTGTCGTTCTATTTGTCTATACAAGAAATATGGGGACAGATCGGTTAATACGATCACGATTGAAATGTATTTAAGTGTGATACTATAGTGTCTGAAGATATAAAAAAATGACGTCGGCCGAAGGAATATCGCGGCCACGAAACTATCACGTATTTGCGTATAGATCTGTAACGGCAATGGTGATCGATGAATGAGGTGCCATGCGACATCGTTCTTTTATAGTGTATATTTATTCCTTTTTCTCATTTCCTTTTTAATTTATAAATAATGTTCTCTACTTTCTACTAAATTCTATTAGAATTCGCTTCAAATGTCTTGAAAGTCTCATGCAAAAAAAAAAAAGACGTTTCGAAAAAGAACTTCTTTCTAATCCTTTGTCTCTGCTTCCCGCTCTCTCTCGTCCTGAAAATATACGCCTCGTAATCCTGCGAACGAAGACGGTGGTGCTCTTCGTCGTCAGTGTGACTTGATGTGCCCGTCTCGACGTGGTGTGCAGTGTATTATCGCGCGCGCGGATGCGACGGCCGACGAGGAAGCGGGTGTAGCACGACCGGACGGGATTCCGCTTGCGTTGTGTCATGTGTACGATGACGGAGAAGGATCCGAGTTGAGGTGGCTCCCGAGACGCGCGAATTTTCCCGCGAACAGTGCCGATCGTGCATCGCCGTTGACCCACGGAGCCGGCAAACTGGAGATCCTGGGGATGTTCCCGCCGCGCACGGAGGCGCCGACAGCCGACAAGCTGACGTTCTGCTACGCACCCCATGTCGACATGGCCACGGTCATCGAAGTCGAGGTGCGAGACCCCCGCCTTTTTCTCTCACGCGAGAGATACCCTGCGAAGTGCTTCCCTTTATTAAAAGCGTTGCGTGTGTTACGTGGAACTACGCGATTTATACGCGGACCGAGCAAACTCCACTCGAAATGAAACGAGAGGAGTAAAATTTCGTCGTCTACGTACACGATTACGTGTATCATCATCAGCGAGACGTTCTGTACGTTTTACCGTAACGCATTGGCTGCTGCGCGAATATGGGTCAAAGTGCGTAAATATATGCAGCAATTACCTTTTCACTATATAAGCGACTATGCAGATACGGCGGTTACGTATTTTTAATCGTATACGCACATTCAACGTTAATGGGTACCCTGTCAAACTTTAACTGATATTAATGCAAAGTTAGCGGTAATTATTGTGTGCTCTTTCTTGAGGGCATTTCGCCATTAATTTCTTTCTCCCTTTACTTGCCTCACGTTACTTCTCACGATTGCTCGTCCCGCGCGCGCGCACGAAATAATTTACACATCTTTTAAATCCACGACACAATTACTCGGCGCAATTTTCAACTCGTATCTTTACTTATCTTCCATAGAGGAATAGCGGGAGTTTACACCTCCGCAGCGCACATTTTTTATATCTTGTATATTCTCCTGTAATAATTCTCGTGCAATAATATAAGAAGAGAAATATAATAATAATTATCATCCGTTACGTCGGTTGCAGTTTTATACGCAACTGTGTCAATTTAATCCTTTCTTAACGTTAGAATTACCGAAGTTGTCAAAATGACTGGTTCGTAATTTTTTCCACAAATTTACAATGATATGTCTTTTGAAATTTTCCATAACTTTTGTTGGAAAAATTTTAAGGAGTGATTCCTCACACAAATTCAAGATTATACGACCACACGTGTCTGAATCGGCTTGATTTAAAGATATACTAAGTTGAAGAAAAAAAATTTGTCTTTTCTAAAAATTTCAGAAACCACTTTGGTTATTTGAAACCTCTCATATTTTGAGATTTAACATAAAATATAATTTTATCAGTACCTCTCTCCGGCAAATTTTATTTCGTTGGCGAAAAGAAATCTTTTGATTTACAAATTAAGATATAGGGGTAAGCATTGACTTTAAGTTTGACGAACACGGACAAGATAAAATCATCACAGGTGTAACTCGTAAATGTCAGTGTGACAATATCATATTAATTTAATAAATAATATTATACAATTTTAATGTCGCCCATATTTAATTATGCTATGAAGTTTCTCCACATTTTTGAGATACACTTGGTGTCGATCCTTATGTAGCGGTCATTAAAATTTAACTCAAACACATCGATCGTGTTGTCCGTGACCGTACACCTTGTGTATTTTTCTTGGAAATTATTTGCGCCTAATCTCCCATCGCGCAATTTCGCCATGCGAAGGGGCCGGTTTATTGGTTATTAATTGTACACGTGTCGTGTGTAGCGACGCTTTCTCCAATCTTATCAACGGTGATCTCAGCAGGAAAGTTTTGGCCGTGCTCTTCTGTGAAGGGAGCTGCCGCTTTTGCGGATTGTTCAGCTTAAAAACATCACACATATGCCCGTTACCGATATCACCGATACAGAATTCCCACATCACGCTCGTACATCAACGATTTCTCCTCTTCCCTCTCCTCCGTTTTACGGAACAACGTTACGATTGGTATCGGTTTATTTGGCAACGATCCCGCGACAGTGTACGGTTTCAATTTTGTAGGCGTAAGAGAGCGCGAGTTGCTCGGCAACGATTCGGCACACCTGATTAAGAGAGCGAGTACAAGACAAATATATATTTAAAATACACGTTTTCGACTCTCGACTTTCCTCTTCCTATCCTTGTGTTTGTCTTCCATCGAGAGTACTATACCGTATACGCGCAGCATACATACAAATAACTACGTGTCTAACTGCCTACGCGATTTATTGTAATTTGTGCTGTCATATTTTATTAAAGATATATAAAATTTGCTTCTTAAAAATTTCAAGTTTTAGTATCTGCAATAAATGCATTTGTCATAATGCAAAAAGTTATTAAAAATTGCGAAGCAAACGTACCATTTCTTCTTGCAACGCACAATGAGCGCTTTTTTTTTAACGAAATGCCAACATTCTGACCATTAGTAACAATGTATATAAAATAACGTGACTACATCCCAAATTAGATGAGACAGTTCTATATTTTTAATTCTTTATTCCACTTTAAAACGCGTCCCAAATTTGGACCTAAATTAAGAAGAACATAATTATAAATTGTCAGTCTCTCTGTTAAATACAATTTTAAAAAGTAAAATATCTCATAACTTGATCGTAATTTTTGTTGTGATATCATGTTAAGTATTATTAGTCATTCATAAATATAATAATATGATATTGTTTATATGCATTTCATTAATAATTATAAGAAAATGTTTATCTACTAAATTTTATTATGACAATAAATATTGATTTTTTAAATGTCCTCTTTTCGCTTCTTAAGGAGTTGGTCACTTTAATGCAAAAGAAAACGCACGCAATTGCGATTTATATCTTTCGATGTGTAATAAAGTGTCTTATATAATCATATTCTTCAACGTTGTACTGAAGCTATGATTTCGAAAGTCTAATTTAGAAGATAATCGAGAAACAACGATAAATTTTACTGCTTGCAGTCGATCAGAAGCATGTGCTTGCCTTGAAACATGGAACTTGGAATTTTTACATCACAGCATATTTTTGAAAATTTTGTAAAATTAATAAAAGCATATCTTTCGCGGAACTAATGGTCAATAAATGATCGGTTCAGTTATGTAACAACTACATATTTACATACGCGTACACCGCACGCACACACAGAACGTAGTGCGTATAGAACTTATACAACCATAGAAAATTTTTGTACTAATAAATACGATTAAAAAATATAAATTGATGTGTAATATAAATAAAAAAATAATATAAATAAATAAATTGATAAATCATGAAAATATAGAAGATTAACATTTAAATATGTTCTTTTATTTTTGTATGATATATGCTTTTAATTACTTTAATATACCTTTTGTAATTGAGTAGCATACAAATATAAATGAATATAGATAAAACATATATAAAATATTATATTTCGTCAATTATCGCTTTTTATCCTTTAACTTTTTGTCAACAAGCGTGTAGCTGCGGGATGTTAACGAAAAATCTAGGTTTTCAACCATTAATTGAGATATCATAACCAGACCTATGCTATGGTTTGGTTACTACGACAGGCGCAACATACGTCCTCATTCCATCATTCTCGACTAATTTTAAGAAGTTCGATTCTTTACGGAAGTATGAGAAAGTGCGAGGACTCACGCTTCTAATAAATTCGAAGGAATCCAACACGCTGGGCACCGCACGCGCCCTTCAGATAACACGTAGGATGAAACTAGCAGTACGACCTTTTCGCGGTCTATAGAGTCGTTCAAGATCGTATCGCAACGAGTGAAGACCTAATGGCTCACGCGAGATGATACATGCCGCGGCAAAAAGCTTCCCTGATATCCAGATATACACCCCGGGTGATACCTATCTATAACGTGAATAACACTATGTGCAATCGAGAGCTCGTATCGCGAGATTACGCAGGTCAGATTAGAGCGGCATCCCTGGATCGCGCGCGAGAAGGTGTCGATGGATCAGGTAAATCGAGATCTACGGATCTCGATCTTATGCGCGAAATATAAGCAGAATTACAAGAAATTCTTATCGAACTTCGTTTCTTCAATTTTCATTTCCGTCTGGTATTATTAGTATTGTAACGCAATCTTTCTAAATATAAATATAGGATCTTGATGTAAATTAATATAAATTTTAGGAAAAAAAGAAAGAGAGAAAGGTAGAGAAATATCGATCATAATATAAAAACTATAAATGTATGAAATATATGAAACTATATTATATATATATAAATAATTAAAGCATAATAATTTATAAAATCTAAATGTAACTAGTAAGAATAAAAAACAGGAAAAATATATGTTATTCAATAAATAAAGAAAATTACTGCGAAACATTGAATGATAAGCTATAAAATTATCAGCTTTTTAGCAGAGATATTTAAATAGTAATTAAAGTCTATTAAAAAAAACACAAGTGCGTTATAATATATAATTTAAACAAATTACAAGTGTTCTCAAGTCTGATTTATATTATCTTTAATATCTGACGGAATTATCGATTGCAGCGGCATAATCTATAGTACATATATCAGTCATAACTTAGGTTTAAGGTTTACTTTCTTAATCCGCTAAATTATCAGTATTTGCATTTTACTTATAAACTATTTGTGCACGCTTCGAAGATGTTCATCTCTTTCTGCTATAATAATCACTGTCCTTGTTTTGTACGAAGTATTTTTAAATGGTTATCACTGCTTATTCTCACTACATTTCTCATTAAAATTAATGAAAATTGCATTAGGCTGATTTATTAGTAGAAGAAATAAATTACGTAATTAATTACATAATTGACAATTTTAATTGTATTTTTTATTATACTTATTATTACATTAATCGTTGATCTATATTATTAGTAATAATACAATTATAATTATATTATACATTACAATACATTATAATATTATATTAACGATATATTAATAATTAATCACTATGTTAAATAAATACATATTTTGTATACATATATAATTTTGTTTGATATCTTTTTTATTTTAATTGCTATCATTAGACAAGAAAGTCCAAAGTAAAAATAATATATCTATTTATATAATACGATTTTCTTCGATTATCACATAATTTATACGAATGAACAAAGATCAGGAAGTTAATCTGGAAGCTGTCCAAAATTATTGAAACAGGTGTGTTCTAAATAAGTACGTTTTCTAATCACATGTAGATTTAATCTGATAGAAGAAATTTTCGTGCATTTACTGTGTCTGTTACCATGTTGGTTGCCATGTAATTTCGGTCCGCTCTGGCTAATGCGCGATGCTTAACCCTTTCGCATCAGATGCAACACGTGATGTGTGTGACGTATCTCTTATCTCGAATGGATCGGATGTACGTTGTACATAGTCTGTAATTACCGCCATGCGAAGTGAATCCTTCGCCGGGCAACTGTGTGCAGATCTTGTAAATGGAAGGAGATTTTCATTTTCTTCCGTTTTACTGTGAAGCTAATTGATTAACCTTTTGGGCTCTCCTAGTAGCAAAACTTAACACGACTATTACAACGTATTTTAGTATGCCTATAAACAGAAAACTCTCCAGATATCTTTTGCAATAAATGAGAAATTTAACTTTGCTGAATATTTGCGCTTCTATAAAAAATATATTCCGATTTAAAGAAAATGATGTTTATATTTATTATATTTAAAATCGGAACGTCTGTGATATAATGTTTGTCTCTCTACTGATCATAAATTTGAAAAGGTTTCAAAGATTTAGCGTAGTATAATTCTCACACGGAAAGAACGGTTTTAGTATTTCAAGCTTTAAGTAGATATAGATCTGTGAGTATAATTTTGTTACACTATTAAAATAATTATGTAGAAAAGCATGATGAACAATGCTACAAAAAGTTTTGACTCGCAACTAATTTTGACTAGGCGCTGTCCTATATAATTATTTTAAGTCTAACGAAATTTAGTTTTAAAGTATCTAACTAAATTTTTAGATACTTCAACAAAGCCGTTCTTTTTCGTATACCTAGAAGAGTTTTGTATAAGTCTACGTAATTTGATTTATTAATACAAGTTATAGCAATATAATTCGTTCCTTCATAGTATTACGTTCTTAACTTTTCAAACGTCTCTTTAACACTTAATAGAATTACGAATCTTTACTGCAGAATGTAATTGTGATGTTTTTTTCTTCATAGGACCGTCTAACTGGTCATGGTGGCATCTCCTCGCTGGGCGGCGGGAATTCGTCGCCCTATTCCGGTGCCCATCACCACGGACACCGGGGAAACGGAAACGGGGGCGGTATGCCCCACCACGGAGGCGCCTCGTTACCGACCGCCTCCGACTTCCAACCCCCTTATTTTCCACCCCCGTTTCCTTCGCATCATCATGCACCCGCTAGCCCCCAGCATCCCGGCCTCGGCCAACCGCAACACCTGGATTACCTCGTCGGTGATCCTTATACGCAAACGCTCAACACACTACACCAACACCATTACAATCACCTGAGCGCTGCCGTCACCGCGGGCCAAAGGAGCGGCGATCTCAGAAGAGACGCCGAGGGAATTCACGTGGTAAGTTCTAAAATATGCTTTCACATAGAGAATGCATTGAGGATACCGCAAAAGGATTTTGTGGAAACTTAAAGCAGTTATTAGATGCTCTTGTCTCATTAATACAGCTACTATATTCTAGCTATTATTTTAATAATGCATTTGGCGCATTATAATACGGTTTAGAAAAACTCACAATATTCTTGAAAAAACTTTTGGAAGTAAATTTTTATATCTTTTAATAAGATCGTACTTAAAAGATCATAAAAATACAAAATCATAAAAATATATACTTGTACAATTTAACTGTAAACGATTTCGTGCGAAACTGATAAAAAAGAAATTTTGTATGAAATAAACGTTGCGTTGCGGATGAATCAAGCACTCGATAATGTCTAACGACTCGCAGTATGAATAATCTAACAAGGCACGCGCTACAAGGCTACCGGTACTCGTATAAATTAACTCTAAAATATAGTCAATTGCAAAAAAGGATATTGTGTAGCCGAGTAACATACGCGATCGATTCACATGTGAGTTTTACATTCTTTAATCTTTTGACCCTTCATAATTATTTGTGCAGCGGCTTACATAATCCATATACAATCAATCTTATGTACTCTTCCGACAGATGCCAATGTCATGCGTTACATTAAACATTTGAGACTTGACTTTTTGCGTTTACATGTCTGCATACTTTTTCTCGCGATGGTGCAAGGATCGCGACAGTTTCGTTCATTACGCGGTGTTCTTCAAATTTAAACAATTAGACATTTACTTTTTGTCGCGAACTCGAACGGAGTCTCAGTCATACTGGAGAAAAAAAACTTGCATTCAATTAATGTATTTATTGTCGAAAAAAAGATAGCTTCGTGTTTTTTTTTTTTTTCCGAAGTATCAAAGGATCGTTCGCTAATTACGCATTTTAAATTTGCAACTGATGATGATGAAGAGCTGAACACTGACAACACACACAAGAAAGATCCCAGCACGCGTTGGGAGAGAAAGAAAGAGAGAGATACATCGAAAATAAACTAAATTTAGTAAATATCTGTTTGACTAATTTTATGTAAATATTTATCAAGCATATATTATTTGACACACAAATCATTAATTTGATTCAATCTTTTTAAAATTTTGTTCAGTATAAGTTTCTAATCATCCGAATAATATATTTTACAAATGCTCTATATATTATAAATTATAAACATATGTATGTGGAAATATATAGAAATATACGTGTCGTAAGTAGTAAGCGTCCGAAAGAAACTAAATGCGCTTAGAATGCATGTGGTAAGAAGGCCAGATTTCTTGTACGCATTGCTGAATAACGTGACAAGAACCCGATTCATGTAATATTCAAATCCATGTCATTAATTAAAATAACGATCACCGTGTTAACGATGCTGTAAATTTAACGGTGTTCGGCCGTGATTCTTCGACAAGTTTATTTATACGTTATTAAATCTGCAATGCGCCGATATTTATACGGGGAAGAGAAAAATTGCAAGCGGCGTTCTATAAACTAGAACTTAATTTGTCGTACGTAAAGATATGCAGCATTTAAAATATTCAATACAACACACATTGTTCCATTTAATGACAATTGTATGAATTTATATTTACTCGAAAATTATATTATACTATATGGATACTTGATTACGTAATGTATATTTTTTATCTCTTTTCTTTTTCTTCTTTTACTCAAACATATGCACCGAAACAATTTTCAAAAATAAAAAAGTTTACTTTTTATTCTTTAATCATACATATGCATTACAACACACTTCCTTCATATAAGCTTTTCGTATATGTAATTAAATTTTAATCTGCAGCTTCGTCAAGACTTACAATTAACCGTGGCCGATCATTACCGCGAAGGAAGGATCGTGTCTTTAACAAATGCGATGTAAGCGGCGTGTAATCTTAGATTACGCGATCCTTCCTCATAGATCTGGGCAGGTATCTTGATGGATACCACGCGCGCGGAAGCATGGAAATTGTGGTACCACGTATATGTGCAGCCAGTACCACGTTCACGGAGGAGGGAACGAAAACGAGGGGAGATCCGGTCACGTGTATCATCGGTATCCGGCCGGGCTGGATACCTTATTAGCAAAGCACTCGGCGTTGTTATTTGTAGGACGCCGCGCCGCGGCGGTATCTCCGCGACGTGTGTTTCGCGGGGTGTAATGACGGGCGTGGTATCGATCTATCAGGGAAGTCGCGGCCAATAAGTCCGTCGTCCCCCGTGACATCGGTGATTGCGATCGTCGATCTCCCGCGAGCACGAAGAGGGACAGGACTTTGCGGCCGCGGTATACTCGCGCGACATTTGGATTCGCCACGGTGTGGAGTTGTCCGCCCCGTGTAATACACCCTACGTGGCTGGAAATCGTGCCAGACGAATCCCGACCTTCGTAAACCATACGTCCTTCGAGTCTTTCTCGCGTCCCACAAAAAATTGTACAGGACAATAAACACGTCTTAGTCTTCGGAGATACACTTGAGTTAATTTTGTCGCATGCGTCATAAAGAATTTCGTTTATTATTATACATGTCCATTTGAGTTCATTTCTTGAATAATTCATTTTTGGACTGTATTCGTACGAAGAATATATAAAAAAAAGTATAGAATAATGATAATAAAAAATTCATACAACTTTGTTGTTGGTATACGCAATCAATCACAAATGGATCCTTGTCAAATCCTTTATTCTTGAAAAATATAAATAGAATTGAACGATAATAAATAAAGAATATATACAAATATAGAAAATGTAGTGAAAAAATACAGAAGATGTAGGTTGCCATGAATTGCTTTTTTAAATTTTGCTTAAAAAATCATGAGCTTTTAAATAGTTCAGTTCATATAACAACTGAGTAATCATCTTGAAATTGCACATATTTCGATATTTAATGTTAACGCTTAAAAAAAATTACGTCGAAACAAATTAAACTTTATGGAAAGAACGATTTTACTGAAGTGTATCTAAAAATTTAACTAGATCTGAAAATAATTTATTAAACCATCAAAATAATTGTGTAAGAGTAATCCTGCAAAAAGTTTCGACATTTTAATAACCAGTTTGAGCATCCTGTATAATTATGTTGATGGTCCAACAAAATTATTTTTAGATCTGTATCTAACTAAATTTTTTAATATTTCAGCAAAACTATTCTTTCCGTGTTAATAGACTTTAGAGTAGAAAAAGTATTTTAATTATATAATTAATCACCCCTTTCCCTCCACCCCCGTACAAAGAACTGGGTTAATCTTTTTAAAGAAGTACTACTACATGTTACACGATTAGATACCTATATTATGCTACAGAATAAATATTACGTATGAATTTAAGTATAAATGCATGTATTTGTATACATAAGATAGGAGTATTGTTTAAAAACCCGTCGCAAAGAGGTCGACTTTATATACAATGTCATATATTACAGCAACATTATACCCAGATGTCGGATGCGATCGGCTTCGAGACCCCATCGATCATTATGGCAATAGTATTTGTGGTCCACCTTGCATTGCTCTCGGTATTCACGAAGGTACCACCCTAATTACCGCGTCGGCACACGCTACCACCGTCATTTCTATCGCGGATTACCATTCGTGCCCGATTTCCAAAGGTGTCGTATGACGTCGACGAGAGGGAGAAAGAAAAAAGGAAAATACGTTCGACGAAATTCGACCCGGAGGTCGTACGACGAACGGCGCTCTTGCTCAGGCCCGTGTTCGCTTCGCGCGTCTCGGAGTTCGAGAGTGATGCAGAAGAGCAGTTCGCTGCGGAGAGCATCTGTCCGCGCCATATGCAGGCTCGAGTTGCCGACTCGGCGTTTTATCGAGGACCGCGATATTATTTTCCGTCCGTGTGATTGAGGGCCGGACGTGTATATTACTACTGTAATTTGTATGTCGAACGAGAGTTGCCCAATAACGCGCTAACAAAAACTACACGCGCGGACTTACGGGTCGTTAAAGCGAAGTCAAGTTTTTTTTCCCAACGTCGAGTTTATTTAAAATCTGACGAAGTTTCGATTAGAGATAACATAGTATTTCTTGCGAATTAATTTTTAAATATATGTAAACAGAAGGACCGAGATATGTTATCTAAATTTAACATTTAATTGAATTAATTTTATCTCGATAGAATTTTTATCAAAAATTGTGTGGCTATATATTTACATATTTAATGTTGATTAACAATTAAGAATTTAAAATAATATTGAAAGGAATTTTAAACTTTTGTGTGTTATACTTTGGAGTGTTAAAGTGTTTCAGTCGTCTAACTGCTTGCCATACCAGGGCGGTTTTTGAGAACGTTCTACCCTCCCGCGATCAAATGCGCGTTATCGATTATCCCAAACATCGCACCCCTTCGACGCTATTTCTTTCTAGCCGACGGGCATTCCTGTAGGTAGGGTGGGTATCTTCGAATTTTAATGAAATCTCAGAATGCTATACTCCCGATTTCCTGCGATATTGAGTTAGGTTGCGGAATAACGCACTTTTCCACCGTTTACATAGCGGTTGTTTCTTGTTTTCCTTCCATACGGAAACCAACGCAGACATATTATGTCACTTGCACAAGTTTTAATTCTGAGAAATTAACTTGCAAGAGGGTATTAAGATAAGCTTGCTTAACAGCCAGCAAAAAATGTGCATATCTCAAACAGGTGTAAATAAGTCGCGCGAGTTCTTAATGACCATTTTCATTTACCATAATGCTTCAATGCATGAAGCCAATAATAATTAATTACCCTGAACGAGGGTCACCAGCCAGATTACAAAAAAAAAAAGTGCAAAAATCTGCTATTATTACACATTGAAAGGAGATAATATCAACAACTATAAAGATTAAGAAAAAGGCGTAAGAGACCTTTTGCGTCACAAGCAATACAAATTATGTGTCTTACGAAATGTTGACGATTGTATAAATTGATATCTAGGGTGTCAATACTTGTTCATGAACTTGTTAGCGTAGTACTTATCAGCGGGACGTAATTAATTA